AAACAGAACCACATGATCTTATCAATTGATGCAGAAAAGGCATTTGACAAAGTCCAACACCCATTCATGATAAAAACTGTCAGCAGAAAAGGAATAGAAGGGAAATTCCTCAATATAATTCAGGGCATTTATACAAAGCCAACAGCCAATATCATCCTAAATGGAGACACTTTGAAAGCGTTCCGCTTGAGAACGGGAACCAGTCAAGGATGCCCTTTATCACCACTCTTATTCAACATTGTGCTGGAGGTCCTAGCCAGAGCAATTAGGCTAGAAAAAGAAATAAAGGGCTTCCAAATTGGTAGGGAAGAAGTCAAAGTATCTCTGTTTGCAGATGATATGATCTTATACCTGGAAAACCCCAAAGAATCCACAAGAAAACTACTGGAACTAACAGAAGATTTCAGCAAAGTTTCAGGATACAAGATAAACATCCAAAAATCAATTAGATTCCTCTGCACCAACAAAGAGAGCCTCGAATAGGAAACCACCAAATGAATACCATTTACAGTAGCCCTCAAAATGATAAAATACTTAGGAATAAATCTAACCAGAGATGTGAAAGACCTGTACAATGAAAACTACAGGACACTACTGCAAGAAACTAAAAGAGAGCTGCATAAGTGGAGAAACATACCTTGCTCATGGATAGGAAAACTCAACATTGTGAAAATGTCAATTCTACCCAAAGCGATCTACAGATACAGTGCAATCCTGATCCAAATTCCACCAGCATTTTTTAATGAGTTGGAGAAACAAATCACCAACTTCATATGGAAAGGTAAGAGGCCTCGAATAAGTAAAGCATTACTCAAGAAGAAGAACAAAGTGGGAGGCCTCACACTACCTGATTTTAGTACCTATTATACTGTCACAGTAGTCAAAACAGCCTGGTACTGGTACAACAACAGATACATAGACCAATGGAACAGAATTGAGGATCCAGATGTAAATTCAACCACCTATGAGCAGCTGATATTTGACAAAGGCCCAAAGTCCGTTAATTGGGGAAAAGACAGTCTCTTTAACAAATGGTACTGGCATAACTGGATATCCATCTACAAAAAACTGAAACAAGACCCATACCTCACGCCATGCACAAAATCTAACTCAAAATGGATCAAAGACTTAAATATAAAATAAAAAAGGATAAAGATCATGGAATAAAAAATAGGGACAATGCTAGGAGCCCTAATACATGTCATAAACACAATAGAAACCATAAGTAACAATGCACAAGCACCAGAATAGAGATTAGATAACTGGGAGCTCCTAAAAATCAAACACTTACACTCATCAAAAGACTTCACCAAAAGAGTAAAAAGACAACCTACAGACTAGAAAAAAATTTTTGACTACAACAAATCTGATCACCGTCTAATCTCTAAAATCTACAAGATACTGCAAAACCTCAACAACAAAAGGACAAATAACCCAATTAAAAAATGGGCAAAAGTTACGAACAGGCACTTTGCCAAAGAAGATACTCAGGCAGCTAACGGACTACATGAGGAAATGCTTATGATCATAAGCCATTAGAGAAATGCAGATCAAAACTGCAATGAGATATCATCTCACCCGAACAAGGCTAGCATTAATCCAAAAAACACAAAATAATAAATGCTGGAGAGGTTGTGGAGAGACTGGAACACTTATATACTGTTGGTGGGAATGTTAAATGGTACAACCACTTTGGAAATCAATTTGGTCCTTCCTTAAAAAGCTAGAAATAGAAGCACCATACGGTCCAGCTATCCTGCTCCTTGGAATATATCCTAGAGGAATAAGAGCTGTCACATGAATAGATATATGCACACCCATGTTCATTGCAGCACTGTTCACAATAGCAAAAAATGGAAGCAACCTAGGTGCCCATCAATGGATGTATGGATAAACAAATTATGGTATATCCACACAATGGAATACTATGCAATGATAAAGAACAATGAAGCCATGAAACATAAAATGGAGGAAGCTGGAGGTCATTATGCTGAGTGAATTTAGTCAGTCACAGAAGGACAAATATTGTATAAGACCACTATTATAAGAACTCAAGAAAGGGTTTAAATACAGAAGAAAACATTCTTTGATGGTTACGAGAGTGGGGAGGGAGGGTGAGCGTTATTCACTTACTAGATAGTAGACAAGTTTTATCTTAGGTGACGGAAAGGACAGCACACACTGTAGGGGAAGTCAGCACAACTGGACTAAACCAAAGCTAAGAAGTTTCCTGAATACAATCAAACACTTTGAGGCACAGAGTAGCAGAGGTAGGGGTCTGGGGACCAGGCTTTCAGGGGACATCTAGGTCAGTTGGTATAACAAAGCTTATTAAGAAAATGTTCTGCATCCTACTTTGATGAATGGCGTCTGGGGTCTTAAAAACTTGCAGGTGGCCATCTAAGATGCATCAGTTGGTCCCAACCACCTGGAGTAAAGGAGAATGAAGAACACCAAAGACACAAGGAAAATAGCCCAAGAGACAGAAAGGGCCACATAAACCAGAGACTTCATCAGCCTGAGATCAGAAGTAGATGGTGACCGGCTACCACCAGTGACCGCCGTGACAGGGAACACAACAGAGAGTCCTGGATGGAGCAGGAGAAAGGTGGGGTGCAGAACTCAATTTCTAGTAATGGTCTGACTGAGACTGGAGGAACCCCGGAAAGCATGGCCCCTGGATTCTCTATCAGCCCAGAACTAAAACAATTTCCAAGGCCAACTCTTCAGACAGGGATTGGACTGGACTGTGGGACATAAAGTGATAGTCGTGAGGAGTGTGCCTCTTAGCTCAAGTAGATACATGAGACTAAACGGGCAGCTTCTGTCCGGAGGTGAGACGGGAAGGCAGAGAGGGTTAGGAGCTGGTTGAATGGACATGGGGAATCATGTGTAGAAAGGAGGAGTGTGCTGTCACAGTATGGGGAGAGCAATTAGAGTCACATAACAATGTATGTAGAAATTTTTGTATGGGAAAAAATAAAATAAAATGAAAGGGTCAGCAAGGATGAGTTTCTTCTGGAGGATCTAGGGAAGAATCCATTTCCTTGGTCTTTTCCAGCTTCTAGAGGCCACCTTCACAACTTTACTTAATCTTAATTCCCCTTTGCCTTGTAAGGTAACATATTACAGGTTCTGGGGTTAGGATTTAGAAATCAGAAGGGGGGGGCATCATTATTTGGCCTACCAGATATTTTTTTCATACTTGCTCATCAATAGCCACTTTAATAGACCATAGAGATGGAGAAACGATTTCATTGGCTCAGAAGAGAATTCTTCCTCTGATTTAATACTTATCATTTTAACTGAATTTGAGAAAAAGAGAAAAGAAATTAAACCTAATACTATAAGTTACAACAATTACACAGCCAAATCTAAACATTTTTGTAAAAATACCTGCTAAAATCAGTCATTGTAGACATGGCAGAAATATTACTATGTTCCAGACACTATGCTGAGTATTTTACAGATATTACTGCCTTTTAATCCTTAAACAACCCTATAATTAGGCATATTTTCCTCATTTTAATGCTAAGAAAGCTAAAGCTGCAAGACTTGCCAAATGGCACAGTTAATGAGAGATCCCAAAGTCTTCCTACTACACCATGCTGAAGTCTGTGAAATGTCAGTTGTATCCATCAATCAAGAAACATTTTCTCAGTATCAGTTAGAATCAAGGCATTCAAAGTATTATGGAAACAATAAGCAAGTATGAGACAAGATGTCTGTCTTTAAAAAATTTATAATCTAGTTGTAGATATAAAGCAAAAACACTTAGGGAAGTAGTATAACATAGTGTTGTAATGCATGAATTTTAGAGTCAGATAGCCCTGGATTAGAACCTTGCTCTTTCCTTTACTTCTTATGTATGAGCCTAGGTTTCCTCTCCTGGCTCATAGAGTTGCTACAAAAGTTAACTAATTAACTATACATTAAGTCAGTCAAGGGATATAGGAGTTCTGAGGAAGAAAAACTAATTGTGAAACCAGTTATTTCATGTTAAACTTGCAGGTATGTATAAGCAAAGATGTCTTGTATTTATTAATATCATGAATGGCAGTACAGTGAAGTGGTTAAATGCACTGGCTCTGAAAAAGAATGCCTGGTTTCAAATTCCATCTCTTTGCTAACCTCTTTGTGCCTCCGTTTCCTCATTTGTAATATGGAGATAAAAATAGTTCCTACATTATCAGGCTGATGAGAGGATTAAATGAAAAATGTAAAGCATTTAGAAAAGTATCAGGCACCTAATAAATGCCACGAAAGTGTTATTATTAGTATCAGGGACACACCTTGTATAGCCCATCCTTAGTGATCCATTGTAGTTGACAGTGATAGTAAAAAAAAAAGAATACATGTAGTCTCAATTTCCCACAGCTCTATAGGAGGTGTGCACAGCTGGGTAGCAGGTAGTATTACCAGTAGGATAAAGTGTACACAGATTTATCTGGTGCCTGCAATATACCTAGCTAGTATGCTTTGGTAAGAAAAAAATAGCATACACTCTTCATTACTATAAACCTCACTGGCTAGGTGGGGAGACAAAACTGATGGTGGCTGAAATAGAGACTAATTAAGTGGTAAGCTGAAGGTAAACTGACTCCAAGTGTAGTAGGAATTTAGATAAAGAAGAAATCATTGTGGATCATATCACCTTACTAAAGAAAGTAGGATTTGAAGTCAGCCTGGAATAATGGGAGGGATTTTATCAAGTGGTGATAAGATAATAGACAATTCTGAGTATAAGAAACTACTCAAGCTTGGAACCTCATGCATCTTTTGTTCTAACCTTTCCCTAACTTGTTAAATAAGCAGCAGCAGCAAAGAAAGGAAAAAGTGAATGAGGAGGCCACAAGTGCCATAAGCCCATGGAATCACGTTGTTAGGTAGCATTGAGTCGGTTCCAACTCATAGTGACCCTGTGTACAATAGAAAGAAACAGTGTCCAGTCCTGCACCATCCTCACAATCATTATGTTTGAGCCCATTGTTGCAGCCACTGTGTCAATCCATCTCATCGAGGGTCTTTCTCTTTTTTACTGACCCTCTGCTCTACCAAGCATAATGAACATCCTTCTCCAGGAGCTAGTCCCTCCTGATAACATGGAATCATAGATTAATGCTTATTCTATTGAAGGGATTTAAGAAAAAGTCGTCCATGGATAGAATTCAGGTGTTCAAGAACTTGGGTAGAGGATAAATTTACATTTTCATTTTACTACCTGCCCTACAGAAATTTATTATTTTCTCAATTATGAATATAGGCAACGGACCACAGTAGCATTAGCAGTAACCATGACTTTGTCATCAGTAGAAATCATAGATATCTCCATATAAGATTATAGTTATTGCAGGTATTCCAAAATATTGTTTATGTTCATCTCCTTTGGTAGCTATTAGCCCCAGTCCTATTCTTGTTATCTAGTGGGTTAATAATGAAGCACATATATTACTATATCAAAAATGAGCTTATTATTGATAACTATTTCAATGCAGTTGGTTTCCTTTGTAATCCAATACTTAAAAGCATTATTCTGAAAAGGGTCCATAGGCTTCCCCACATTACCAAAGAAGTCCATGACACTAGGATTGTGTTTCTATTTGTGAACCTGGGAATGTATTCGTTTTGTTTGTTTGTTTGTTTTTGGTAGCCGCATCCAGTATTGACTCATACTGAGCTTACCGTGCAGTCAACTAAATCCCTTTTTTGCACATGCTAATTTAGGCTATATTCATTCCCTAAAATAGGCAACTAGCATTACTGTCCAGCCAGTGGCTGGAACTGATTAACCAATAGCTTGAAATTATTATAGCAGCACTTTATAAAAATAATTTTTAACTACTTGGTAGGTAAAATAAGCAGGAGCAGCAAAGAAAGGGAATGGAACTAAATATAGAACTTAATGTTAACCACCTCAGATATCTTGAAAGATATTTTCTATATGCAGATATATCTGCCAAACAAACTTACGTCTTTCTTTTAAGAAGTCAGTGGTGTTTTTTGGTTCATTTTGTGGAAGTTAGGGGGAGAGAAAGACTGTTCTGGTTATTATTGCTGTGTTGTAAACCATCCCCAAAACTTTGTGATGTGAAATAATCATTTTATTGCATCCAGGGATTGTGTGGGTCGGGAATTTGAACAGGGCCCATAGCAAGGATGCTCCAAGGATGCTGGAGGCTGTAATCATCTAAAAGGATCGTCACTCACCTATGTCTAGATATCAGCTAGGACCGCAGCTGGGGCTGTCCTCCAGAGCACCTGCATATGGCCTCTCCATGTAGCATGGACTTCCTCACGGTATGCTGGCCTCTTCTTACACGGTGGTTGAATTTCTTACAGGGCAGCTCAGGGCTCCAAAAGTGAGTGTCTTAGTAAACAAGGTAGAAGCTGCGGTGCCTTTTATGGCCCATCCTCACGGGTCATGACGCATCATTTCTGCCATACTCTATTGACTGAAACAGTCACAAGCCCACCCAGATTCAAGGGAAGAAGAATTAGACTCTGCCACAATGCAAGGTTACATTGTAGAAGAGCATGTGGAACAGGCAGTACTGTGCAGGTACTTTGGAAAATGCAATCTGCACCTGTAAATAGGTGCAATACCATGCTAAATTAAAGTATTTCAACCCATAACCTACAGTGACAGTTTTGTAGAATGATTATAGAGAGAAAATTATTTTTCTTAATGACTCATATTTAGAGTTGAGGTTTATAATTATGTTATCTATTATTCTAGTAATGAAATTTATCATTTAATTAGGATTGGGAAAGGAATTACAGTGAAAATTTGATTTTTCCAAAACTTGCAGCTCTGTGTGTATATCAGCACATGATCTGAAAGCTACAAGTATTGTCTCACACATATAATAATGACAAGGAAAAAAATGTTCCGTATTTTCTCCACTAAAAGTTTTGAGTAAAAAAGGACCATAAGGGTAAATTGTACGGTATGTGAATTATAGCTCAGTAGAGCTGTTTTAAAATATATATAGAGAAAGAGCCATAAACAAATACTGAATTCTAGCTAATGGGATGCACAGTGAAGTAGTTAAGAGTAAAATATACTGATGTCTGCAACTTACTTAGAAGTTCACCAAAAAGAAGATTCATCAATGATGGATAGAGAGGTTAAATAGAGGGATGGATAGATATTTAGAGAGGGATAAAGCAAGTAACAGAAAAAGTTTAATTGTAGACCTAGGTGGGGTGTATATGTATGTTCTCCAAAAAACTCTTTCAACTTTTCTGTATGTTTGAAATTTTGTATAATACAATGTCAGGAAAAATCATAATGAGACACCACTACACACTTACTAGAATGGCTTAAAAACAAGTTTTGTAGTTTTGAGTATTTTCTTCACTAAAGTTTTGATGTAATTTTGATGAAGTGAAGTAAATTAGCTTGACTAGTACATCACCTGTTTTTATTCAAGTAATTGGGATAATTTCTTGATAATAGAGAAAGCAAAAGGAAAGAGGTGCAAAACCCCACCACAGTTTTATGTCTACAAAGTCAGAAACCTTTGAGACAAATAATTTAAATTAACATAATTTTGCCATTGGAAGAACTGAAACTCTAAATGTGTAAACAGAGCATAATCTCCATTTCTAACGCTATTTGCCCTGCTAAAGTCTCACACCTCTTTTTCTCCCTAGGCAATTACTTTTAATTTTTTTCCTTTTCTTTGACCTCAGCAATATGTTCCCTGTTTACATTATTCATGGAATCATGAAGGGTCACTATTGTCTGCCCAATTCCAAAATAGTTTGGCACTTTTTCAAATTATTTTGCTTGAATTGTACTGAAGTGGTTACCCGCTGACGCAGGCCTACCAGCACCCTTGTGCTACAGTCGGCCAAAAAAAAAAGGATGAAAGGAGTGAAAGTCTCCTTCAGTTGCTAAGCAAAGCAGTAGTTGGTAAGGAATAGTAACACTTTAGTATTTTTTAAGTCTTCTGGTAAAATTTGGACTCACTGAAGCATTTATACCTTAACTGAGAATAATACTAACTGATCTATTGAGGTTATTCAACAGAACAACTGGACATTTAAAATGCCTTTTTTACATGCCCACCAAGACCTAGTACTAACTCTGACATACTATGCAGAATCTTTGCTCTTAAGAAACATCGGCAGCATATCTAGGAAGAAAAGTTGGAGAGGACACCAGAGCATGAGCAGATTCGCACTGCAAGAGACAGCACAAAGAAGATAGGTGCCAGGTACCAGATGGAATGAAATCATATTCCCCTTGCTCTCTTGCCCAGCCTAAAAAGCCAGGCCAGGGAAGTTTGCGATCGTGGTACAGGAATGGGGACTATTGCTCAATGTTTAAACTACCCCATCAGGCAAAATTGCTATTCAATATGCTCCCAACTCCCTATTTTGTATTTAAAGGCTTGAATTCTTATCTGCAACTTGGCAGCTTTGGAAGCTGACTCATATTTTATTCTGCTCAAGACTTTCACTTCCAAGTACATATTCAGGCTTTGTTTGGTCAGTTTTGTTGATTGTGTGGTTGAATGCCATCCCTGGAAAGATGTGCTTTTAAGCTAGCATGAAGTCAATGACTTGCCTTCAGCATTCACAAGGAAGTTCTGAAGTTTCTGTTTCAAGGCTTTGACATGCCAGCAAGTATAAATCTAGTCTGATGTCAAGATGCCCTGTGCCAGTAGGTTGCTTTTGATCTTGGTCTGCATGATTTTCCTTGTGGCTGTTAACCTGTTGCCATTAAAAGAAACAGAATAAGATTATGGAATGTGGCATAGGTTGCAGGCACAGATATAGTTAGTATTTTCTATAACACCACTCTGGTTTGTTAGAACTTCTAACTACGTTGGCATTTAAAAAAAAAAAAAACTGTTTTCTGAAACTGTGTATTCAACTCCTGATTTTCCATTCAACCCATGATGATGCTTCCTGACTGCTCAGCTGGAATCTGGATTTGCCTCTTTCATTCAGCACACTTTTGAACCAGTGGCAAGTCTTGTTATAGGGAATATCTGGGGTAGCAAATTCAAATTTGGCAGCACCCTGGGGACATTAATCTATCAGAAAATATAAATGAGCAAATAATTTCTCAGGTGAAATGGTTCAGTTGAGAATAGTACTGGAATGAAAAACCCAAAGGTTGACCAAACTAAAACACATTTACAATTTATAGGATCCCCAGTCTTGATTTTGTTTTTATATGCTTTTATCAGGCTTGATCTTTTAGCTTTTACAGTTTAAATAATTGGCAATAACTTATTAACTGTTCTAATGCTGAGTTCACCTTTACTACTTCCTGACTGATGCCATTGTCTTCCCCGTTGCCTTCCTCACTTCTATTACTTATCTGTCTTAGCCTGATACACAGCCACATTGCCAGCAACTTCCACTATATGTTGTTGTAGAAATACTGTCGATTCAAATTTTGGATTAAAAATTGTTATCATGGTATAAACATTGTATTTGAAATATTTAAATAACTAAAATGTTCCTCAGATGAAAATAAACATATGCAGGTTGGCTATTAGAAGAGGAAAAAAAGAAGCTGGGGATGGGGGAAAGAAGAGAAGATCTCCCATAGGAAACTTTAAATATTATTTGGGGTGCTTTTTATTGTTGTTTATTTTCAGTGATTTTTTTTTTTTTTTTTTTTTTGTTCAAAGCACTGAAGACTTCAGAATTCAGGAAGAGGGAGATGGTACTTGATTTCCACTGCCTAGATGGAAGAGAATAGTAACCTTGGAAATATGGAGCTAGTGTGAACCACTCATTTTAAAATTCATATATGATGTTTATGATTACCATTATCTATACAGTTAGTCCCCAACTTACTACATGTTTGAATTATGACAAACCGCACTTAATGACAGTCTGTTTAGTTATTTTGTTGTACATGTTATCATTAGTAATCTGTGCCACATACAGTGTCGCAGCATGTAATTTGCTGATGTTATCATTCTCTGTAAGTTTATATGTAGTGTTTCCAACCTCCAAAAATAAATAAAGATCAGATTTATGAAGATACTGATAATAAAATTCAATAACAATGACAAGTAAAAAAAAAAAAGAGAGATATTTGACTTATGTCAGAACTGACGACGAAGCCATTGGAACTGAACCCCATCGTAACCTGGGGACTACTTGATAGTTTAATAACCTATCATCTGTGACTTCTCATTGATAATGCCTAGTGAAAGTGTCTATTTTAAAAGCCTTCTGTGGAAGAAAGTAAGCCTTGCAGGTAGGACCAACTGCATAATTAGCAGGGCACAGTGAAAATGAAAGTGTGGAGCCCCTTGTTCAAAATGCTGGGAAAAAGTGCTGTTAAAGATACTAAAATATAAAGTTTTTCCTTTTCTTCCACAGTCTCTCTCAACCTGTAATGATGCTTCTATTTGCTGTTTAAGGTCACGCTCCTTCAGGCACAGGAATGCTGCCAGGGCAAGCATAGACTTTCACAGGCACCTGTGGGTCTCACCCTGTGATTTGGGGCACACATGGCTCATCAGCTGCCAGGTTTCTCCTCTTGCCAGCCACCGGACTGATGCCCTGTGCCCCAGCCAGAGGTAGTGAAGTCGAGCTGGGCATCTCCTCTTCCCACAGACTACTGCCCCAGCCCACACTTGATGGGCAGCCAGCCCCCCAAGGGTATTGCAGCCTCCAGCGGGGACATACTAGTTACCTAGTTACCTAGATCAGAGACAAGCAAGAAGCTTGCCGCCACCAAATCACCCACCAAATGCCCTATGGCACTGTCACCTCAGGGTGGGACAGCTGCCTCACCACCCACCTCAAATACCATGGGGTAACGGCGCCTGACCCTGACCCTCCCTGCACTTTCACCTAGGTCCCAACCGGGAGCAAAGAGTGGCAGCAGTCACTAGGCAGAGTGGAGAGTTTCAGGGCAATCAGGGCCCAAAGCACCAGGAGATAGGTAAACAGGCAGGCAAGAACCCATCCTGGGAGGCCAGGAGGCAGGCATTGGTCATTAGCCAAGGCTCCAAGAGCCCCCCCAAACTCCCCTAGCTTTGGTGCAAGCTCCATTGTCCCATCAAACTTCACAAATTCAAAGATAAAATTATTAAAACTATCAAGACAGGACTTCCAGGCAACACGGTGCTATAGTCAGAAGCACCACGCCATCACTTGACAGCAAAGATCAGAAAAACTAAGTCAAACAGAGTCACATGTCAATCCTGAAACCCTAAGCATCAAGTGAAGAGATAAAGAACTCAGCCAAGCACCAAATGGAATAAGAAACTGACCGAGAACAGAGAGCAAGGAGAGATACATGCAGAGGTTCCCTATCAGCTACCACAGCACAGATCCGCCATCTTGGACTCCTATTGGAGATCAGCAAATGGGGGTATGAGAAAGCAGCTTCACGGAGCTTCCAGCAGGTGATAAAACAACCGGTAACCAGCAGTATAGGCTTTCCCACCCACCCCCAACCCTTTTTCACACCCACTTAGCCTCCTCTGCTTCCTTCAGCCAGTCTCTTGGCTGGGAAGCACCAGCTTCACCCCAGTGTCGCTTGGATTCCATCCTCCCAAACTGGCTGGCTCCCTGAGTGCCTTTTGTTGGCTGCTGGTGTTGCTTTTTTCCACTTCTTTAGATTTCTTCCTTACCTCTCACCACCTCCCACTCCTTTCTCTCAAATACCTGGCTCCATGTGCCATCTTTGCTTCTTCCTGAAAGTCTGCAAAATACCACTTGACTGTGAAACTGCTTCCCGGCCCATGCCACCATGCTGGTGGGAACCCCAGGGCATTTTTGTTTGTTTGTTTGCTCTGATTTGTTCTGTTTTGATTTGTTTGTTTTCTTTTTCTTTTCTCTGCTTGGAAGCCCTTTCTAGCCAGGCAGTACCACATGGCTTGGAAGCTACTCCCTTATTCTACGCAGACTCACAGGGACATCCCTGGGGGTGTTTCTTTTTTCTTGTCTTTTGGAGTTTTTTGTTTGTTTGTTTTTGGGTTTTTTTGTTTGTTTGTTTGTTTCTTTGTTTTGTTTTCCTCTCTCTCTTATTCCCTTTTTGTCTTTCTTCATTTCCAGTCTCTCGATTTACTCATTTTTTTTCTTTCACCCTTTTTCTTTTTTTTTTTTTCATTTTTGTTTTTCCCCATTTCTCAGTCTCTCAACTCTCCACTCCAATAGCGAGCTCCCTTAGCACTCTTTTTTGTTTGTGTGTATGTTTTTGGCTCCTGTTCCTCTCTCCTCTCTTTCATCTTCCCCATACCCATCTTAACTCCATACATTACAATCTACCCCCTCCTTCCTGCCTACCTACACCATGCGCTGAACATCACACTCCCAAGCAGCACAGGCACGGCCTACTGGAACCTGCCCTGCAGAGATTCCCGGTCCACACTGTCAGCCCTGGTATGTGCCACAAACAACCTATCCCAGCAACTCCCCTTCAGCTGGACCTGCCCCGCTGTACCATACCTGAGTGACTGACCCTGCCCATTGGAGAAGGAGGTGAAAATTATCGTGCCCACAGATGAGCAAACAACAAAGAACACACAGCCCGCCTGCTCAGACATAGCCAAATAAAACAAAAAAGCAGGACAAAACAAACAAATCTACAATAAATGAGGAAAATAACTGATGAATTCCCTGAAGACAGCAGACAATATCAAAACATTTCCAAAAACAGGACAGGATGGTTCCAGTAGGCATCCAAAAGAAAACACCAGATGACTTTCTAGTAGAAGAAAAGGCACTAGACCTAACTGATAAGGAATTCAAATCTCTAATATTCAGAATTATCCAAGAGTTGAAGCAAAAAGCCAACAAAAATGAGGAAAAAATAGACAAATTCATAGAAAAAGCAGACAAATTCATGGAAAATACAGACAAAAAAATGGAAGAAGTCAAGAAAATAATACAGGAACAAAATGCTAAAATAAGTTCACAACTAGAAATCATACAAAAACAACAATTAGAAATCCAAAAGATAAACAACAAGATTTTAGAAATGGACAGTGTCACAGAAGGGCTGAGGAGCAGGTTTGAAACGACGGAAGATAGGATCAGTGAAATTGAAGACAAACACTTGGATACCACTCTGTCTGAGGAAGAATCAGAAAAAAGAACGAAGAAAAATGAAGAAACCCTGAGAATTACATGGGATACAATCAAAAGCAAAAATCTGCAAGTGATCAGAGTTCCAGAACAGGGAGAGAAAACAGAAAACACAGAGAGGATAATTGAAAAATTGCTGACAGAAAACTTCCCCAATATCATAAAAGATGAAAAGCTGACCATCCAAGAAGCTCGACTAACCCCATATAAGATAGACCCCAAAAGAAAATCAAGGAGTATCATAATCACACTCGCTAAAACCAAAGACAAAGAATCCTGAGGGCAGCTCGAGAAGAACAAAAAGTGACATACAGAGGAGAAACAATAAAACTAAGCTCGGATTATTTGGCAGAAACCATGCAGGCAAGAAGACAATGGGATGACATACATAAAACCTTGAAAGAAAAAAATTGCCAGCCAAGAATAATCTTTCCTGCAAAAGTCTCGTTAAAATATGATGGTGAAATTAGGTCATTTCCAGATAAACAGAAATTAAGGGACTATGTAAAAACCAAACCAAACTTACCAGACTTATTAAAGGGAGTCCTTCGATCTGAGAACAAACATCAGACCACAGGCTGAATATAGGACACAGGATTGTACTAGCCAGATACCAACCTAGGAAATGAACTCTTAAGGACTATGCAAAACCAAAAGAATTATAGCAGGGAACCAGAGAGGTTAATCTGTAAATGACAACAGCATCAGAACAATAAAAGAGAGATTAAATGGTGCAGGTATAGAACCTTCTAATGGAGAGGAAGGCAAGGCAATACCAAGTAATA